GATGACCCTGGCCTCTGCATTGAGAGATGCATGCGGCCATTTTATTGATTATTCTTGAGGATCTTACAAAGTAGAACAACAATATGCCTGAATCCGCCATCTTGGCAACATCTGCTGCTACTCCTATCCATATGATGAAGGGGTGCAAGCCGGGCCACATATCCAGACCTCTCACCTAAGCCTAACATCTAAAGCCGGAGGCCCCGACCGAGCCATCTATCGGTCCAGGGCACAAACCGGTCCGACGCACTCACATGTGTCGTTGCCGCCATCTTCCACCGGTCCATCTTCAGAGCAGATTGAGGTGTCAACCTTAGCAGGGCCTCCGCCATCGACGCCACCATGACGCCAAACGACAACCTCCACCTACGCGAGCCTTGGCAGGTCTTCCGCCATGGACACCACCATGACGCCAAACGACGACCTCCACCTACGCGAGTCCATCTCCAAGCAACGGACGTAGATCCATGCTAGGATAGGTCTGCACCACCGCCCTCGTCCACCACCCACTAGCGCCACCCAACCCCAAGGTTCCCAAAGCGGCACCTTCAAGAAGGTAACGGCGCCGTGAGTGCCGCCGCCGCCCAACAAATTTAGGGCTTTCGCCCAGGAGACCTAGGGGAAGGGGAAGTGAGGAGATCAGTCCATACCGACGCCTCCAAGGAGGGGAACGACACCCTAGGCGTCGTTGTCGGCATGGCCGACCATGGCCGGCCAGGGATTTCACCCGAACTAGATCCCCGCCACCAGCAGCACCTCCTGTACAGAACCGGCGACCAAGGGAAGCGCGAGCCGACCCGGCTGGCCCGCACGCCGAACAGGGAAGGAGGGAAGGCGCCAGATCGCGCGCACCGACCTCCGCAGAAGCCGCCGCCAGCCGCCAGCCGCCAACGACCACCGGGATCCCGCCGCCCGCGCGGCCAGGACGCCAGATCCACCACCCGCACAGCTGCTCGCCGGAGCTTGTCGTGCCTCGCCAAAGGAGCCGCCGCTCCAGATCCGGGACTCCCCACGCAGAGGCAGGACAGCCGAGACCCCACGGCCACCATCCTTGGCGCCCCGGGTTTGCCCGGCGGCTGCCTCAGGCGGCGGCGAGGAGGTGGGACGAGGTGGGGTGGGGGCTGAGGCGGCGCGGCTAGGGTTCCCCCGCCGCCGCCGGGGGAGGCGACGCGGGGGTCGCGAGAGGGAGCTGAAGATGCTCTTAGTGTTCGTATTTCTTTATTTTTGAGAACTTTTTAGAGGGTGAGAGATTATATAGTCTGGCTGTAATAAGCTATTCTTATTTTCTCAAACTCACTACAAAAACAGTGAGGGGTTGGAGAACATAATAAAGAAAATGTAGTCATAGCTGAATTAATTAAATCCATGAGAAACCCTACATTAATTAAACAATCGTCCGGCAGGCCTGTGATACCAGATCTAATACTCCCTATGATCATATTATGTACTAAATCAACAACAATTAATATGGATTGGAGGGAGTAAGTTAGTTAGTATATCAGTACAAAAACGAGTAATCGTGATTGCATATCCTGGCGGTCCCTGAGATACCAGACCTAATAAGCTATTTTTATTTGCTCAATTTACTAGAGAAAATAACACAAATACAGGAAAAAGAGAGTAATCGCAATTAAAAAAAGAAATGGTCCCGACGGGGTTTCAACCCGTGACCTTTGGTATATCAGACCAACACTCTAACCAACTGAGCTACGGGACCTAATTATTTAGTGAATATTTCTTTCTTTATTAAAATAATGGAAAATACAGAAGAACCAAAAAATCAAGACCCATGAGAGTTAGGCTCCTCGCTTACACTGCGGCCAGAGTTAATAAGCTGGAGAGGTGTTTTGAATTCAATAAAGAATTGCAGTTCAGTGGTGGTAAGCATGGTAAGCAGCACTGATTTTGTTGGATGTTCTCAGAAACTCGTGATGGTTGCGTCAATCCTGTTGAGTGGGTACATCTATCTATCTTAATACCAGTCTCACACTCATCAGTTTATACACATTACTTGACAGTTCTTTCCAAGTCACAGATCAACTGACAACCCTTCAGTAGTTTATATCTGATGATAATATTTGCAGAGAACAGCTGAAACCGACATTACGCAATTGGATCTGCTGCTCTTGAAAGATATACTCCCTCTGTAAAGAAGTACTCCCTCTGTAAACTAATATAAGAGCATTTAGATCACTATTTTAGTATTCTAAACGCTCTTATATTAGTTTACGGAGGGAGTATAAGAGTGTTTAGTGTGTTTATAGAGGGAGTACTTCTTACTACTTGATGATAACATTTGCAGTCTCCAATTCTTCTTACGACCTTCTTGAAAGGCACCAGTGAACAACGACGATCCACATCGAGCGGTTCATGTGGAGGCCGGCAGTTCACACAAGCACCCCGCCGCTTTCACGCATCAGCATCGGTCTATGATCGCAATGGGCACAAGCAAGCAAAAAGTAGAAGAGTTGGAGTCTTGGAGACTGTAACAGGTTAGTTTACTGTGTTGTTTTGATTTTTGGGCATAGTCTACGGACTGCATGGATCATGCTTCACATCTTCTTAATTGTTCGGTTATACTCACCGGTAACTTTGGTCCATACCCACGGAATTGTTTTATGCATGGTCTTGATCACCTCAATAATTGGCCTAGTGATGCATGCAGCATTGGGCAGGGCTGGCTGGCTAGCTAGAGGGATTTGAACCCTCCACTTTGGCACAAACCGATCCTAGAAAAATTCCAGCAGATTTGATAAAAGGGCAGCCCCTCTAATGGTTCCAGAGGGAACTCTAGGAGGTTTTAGAGTGCGCTGCTAAATCACACACCCTAAAATTGCATCCTCTGTACTTCTTATTCCATGTGGGACTCAGTTGTCACTGTGTCACTATTTTTCTTCTTTTCCCCATTCGTTTCTTGCTCATCATCCGAACGCATCACCGTTCTGGCTGGCGCACCTTGTCCCTCTCGCTAGTCCCCTCCACTCGCCACCCCCGTAGGATGTCCCTCCAGCCTCTGCCCGTTATGTTGATGGGCAATGACTGGAGAAGGAAGGAACCAAGGTGGCGCTTCACCGGTTGCGACTGGCGGGGTCGGCTGCTGGGGGCGCGGCGCCGAGAAGGGAGGGGTGTGGAGCCGGCTACCAGTCACAAGAAGCGGAGGGAAGGCCGCGACAGGGGAATGAGTCATGCAGTCGGTGGGGTTGGTGAGACCACGACGGTGAGTGAATGAAAAGGGCATGAAGTTTCGTTGGCACCAAAACTTTTGTGCATAGGGTGTCCCTCTGTATTTTCCTCTCTCTTACCTAATACTCCCTCCATTCTGATTTACTCGCCGTGGTTTAGTTGGAACGGAGGGAGTAAATATATAAAGGGTGGTGCGATCTTTTAGAGGGTGCCCTCCAAATTTTTTTAGGGATAGAGGGTCACTTAGGGAATCTGGTTGAGTGAGTATTTCTCTATTTTGATAGTTTTATTGGAGGGGTTCTAAGTAATCTGGCAGAATTGCTCTAAACAATGATCGGTTTGGGAATATAGAGAAAAAAGAGTAATTGCAGTTACTCGCCGTGGTTTAGTTGGAACGGAGGGAGTAAATATATAAAGGGTGGTGCGGTCTTTTAGAGGGTGCCCTCTAATTTTTTTTAGGGATAGAGGGTCACTTAGGGAATCTGGTTGAGTGAGTATTTCTCTATTTTGATAGTTTTATTGGAGGGGTTCTAATTAATCTGGCAGAATTGCTCTAAACAATGATCGGTTTGGGAATATAGAGAAAAAAGAGTAATTGCAATTACTCGCCGTGGTTTAGTTGGAACGGAGGGAGTAAATATATAAAGGGTGGTGCGGTCTTTTAGAGGGTGCCCTCTAATTTTTTTTAGGGATAGAGGGTCACTTAAGGAATCTGGTTGAGTGAGTATTTCTCTATTTTGATAGTTTTATTGGAGGGGTTCTAAGTAATCTGGCAGAATTGCCCTAAACAATGATCGGTTTGGGAATATAGAGAAAAAAGAGTAATTGCAGTTAAAAAGAATTGGTCCCAACGGGGCTTGAACCCGTGACCTTTGATATATCAGACCAACACTCTAACAAACTGAGCTACAGGACCTAATTTATTTCTTAATATTTATTTACTATTAAAATAATAAAACGGAGAATATACAATAAGTAATCATGATTGAATACAATTTTAAAAACTCCTGCCGGCCCCTGATATACAAGACTTAATGAGTCATTTTTGTTTTCTCAAATTACTAGGAAAAACGATGAGCAGTTAGAAAATACATTGAAAAAAGAGGGTAATCTTCCCGCAAAAAAAGAAAAGAAAATAGAGGGTAATCGCAATTTAAAAAAAGAACTGGTCCCGACGGGGATTGAACCTGTGACCTTTGGCATATCAGACCAACACTCTAACCAACTGAGCTACAGGACCTAATTATCTACTGAATATTTCTTTACCTTAAAAGCAATTTAAAAAGACCTTCGCATTTTATTCTGAGAATCATATCTCCTACACATACATAAACTGATAGATAGGGACTTCTCACTAAAGAAAATAATCACCACAGGAAGATAATTACACAGTAATGTATAGGCCTAATTTTGTCTTCAGTGTTCAGTGGTAAGCACTAAGCAGCACTGAATTTGTTGGATGGTTTTCAGAAACTCATGATGTTTCCCTGCTGCAGCATACAGTAATTCATCGCTGCGGTAATCCTGTCGAGTGGGCTCATCTATCTTCATACCCCAGTCTTATCCTCATCAGTTTATACACATTACTTGACAACGCTTTCGGTGCCACACGTCATCTGACAACCCTTCATTTGATGGTTTATATCCGATGATAACATTTGCAGATAACAGATGGAAACCCACATTTGGCAATTGGATCTGCTGCTCTTGAAAGATGATATACCTCTTACAATTTTACACCTTCTGGATTTATATATCATTCAACTTATTCACCATAGAGCTGCGAGCCAGCGACCACTATCGGGCATGATACCCATCTAGTGTGTAGAAGCAAATGCCATGCACATTGGTGGGGTGATCTTGGCCAACGCAAGCAAGGAAGCTGGGAAGATCCAAAGTCCATCCCCACATATAAAACCGGAGGCAACTGCTGGCACCATATGTGCTGCTTTGCTCCTGTCAATCTTGTGCCAGATGTAGACTATCAAGCTCCCGGCACACATGTCGATGGCGAAGCTCGCGCCGACAAGGAAGGGGAACCCCATTGCCATGGGCAAGGGGACCCATTTGCCATACTTCTGTGGAAGGAAATCCCTCATCAGGTTGGCCACCAGTGCAAAGGCAAAGAATCCACAGCAGAGCTGCAAGCAATGCATGGGCAGAGCAGAGAAGCCCTCCACACCAAGAATCGCGATGTTTCGGTATATCAGAGCATACGGCGCCTTCCAGGGGCTGTCCTGGTTGCCTATGTCAAAGGCATTGTAGAACACATAGAATGTCAGCGGTGAGATGACACAACCAATGGCGGTGCCGATGATCTGGGCGATAAGCATTGATCTAGGTGATGTTAATGTAAGATGCCCAGTTTTGAAGTCCTGCATCAGATCAGCAGATATCGACGTCATACACTTCACCATGCCACAGCCTACCATCCCAGCAACCACGCCATGTTCTTTCCCAGCTGCGGCCGCAAGAATGAGGAGGGCAACTTTTCCATAGTTGAAGGCCATGTTGATGTCGGTAAGACCGGATCCATAGGCATTGGAGAAACCCAGAGCAGGAGCCAATAGGTATGCTACAACAGCATAGTACCACTTCAACTCAGGGAACATCCTGGGAATAGTGATTACAGCAACGACCGATAATGCAAAGTAACCCAAAAAGGCTAGCCAGTTAGGGAGACTGTCTCTTATAAACACTTCATTGCGATGTTGTTCAACGAGTGACAGAGTATCTTCCCCTGAAAGCATAATGAACCCAACATTAGGTCATCTATACACCAGGAAGGCAGAAACCAGAAAGGTTAAGCTGTTTACCATTCTTTGCGTTTTTCTGTTTTGATTTGTCAAGCATACTCATGACGGTCTTAAGAATAATCTTTGTAAAATTGTATATGCCGTCTCCTAGGATGAGAGCTATGCAAATGAAGGCCTGTGAACGAGAGAAGGTAAGAAAAAAAGATTTGCAAAACACGCGCACAACAACAAAATTACACTTGGAAACATACCTTGTAACCTTGCAGACTTCTCATGCTGCTTTCTGGTAATTCTGCCGGATACCAGTTCCCTTTCAAATCAGCAATCAGTGGCCACATTACGCCCCAGGAGAGAATAGAGCCAAGAAGGAGAGATATATTCACAAGGTGGGGGCAAATCATCCCTGCCCCAACATATGTGAGATTGAAATCAAAGAAGAACCTGACACCCCCATCATAAAATCTAAATTAGGTGAAACTGTTACTAGTCAAGAACAGAATAGAATAATGAATAACATGACGGGCATTACGAATGTTTCCAAGCTCGTAGTCCAAGAGTGGGGAATTGCGAAAAGCCACAATGATCTCCACCAGAATAAAACCACTGGAAGAAGCTCCAGAAGAAGCTAATTGCAAAGTATTTTGTGAATCCATTCACTTGCATCCTGACGTTAGCAAGAAAAACATCAAATTTTGCTTAAAATGAGAGAATCATAATACTCCCTCCGGTCCTTTTTACTCCGCATATAAGATTTGTCTGGTCATGTTTATATGAAAAATATATCAACTTCTACAATATTAAAGTTATACAATGAAAAATAAATTCACGACGCATCTAATGATATTGATTTCGTATTGTGAATGTTATTTTTTTCCTATAAAGTTTGACTTCAGACAAATATTATATGCGGAGTTTGAGTTTGACTCCAGATAAATCTTATATTCGGAGTAAAAAGGACCGGTGGGAGTATATGGCTATGAAGGCTACTGGTTATGTGAGAGAACTGCATACTTTGCCACATCATCTCCCTTGGACGCATGAAATCCATTTATAAGCACGGCAGTTGCAGTTCCGCTTGGGTAAGTTAATTTGTAGTCGATCACCAAAATCTGAAAAATTACAAAGCTCCATAAAAAATGTGCTTAAAATAGTTTCTTTCCATTTGCAACTGATGTCAAACAGCTTGAAGTTTTTTTTTTCCACACGGGTCAAACAACTTGAAGCTGTTGTAAGGTAACAAAGGAAAAGTTATGCAGGGATCACGTTCAACTTTAAAGAGCTCCCAAGATGATATGTCTGATCTTGCCAGCAGAAGTGAATGATGTTCACATAAATTTTTCCCTCCATCAAACTTATGCTTAGAAATCAATTCAATTTAATTGCAACCGAATATTCCAGTAAAAAGAGTCCTTATTTTTTCCATAATTTACAATTCATTTAAATTGCATGTATGTCAAACCATAGGCGAGGTATCTAGTATTTTTGTTATACATAGAGCTCTGAACACCGCACGCCATGGCTTTATTTTCTTGGCACTATTTAGCCAAAAAGGTTTAACATACTTGCCCACTCTTAGGCTTCAAGCAAACACGCTCATAGTCCTTAGGGTCATAACTTAGCCAATGTGTATAACGTGTGGGACTTGGCTGAAGAAATGCTTTGGCTATGGGCAGTGTGGCAACTAAACTAACAGTCCGAAAAGAATTTAAGTGCCAGCGTTCACCACAAACAACAAGGCCTATCAAAAAAAATGGAAGAATACTCGTTGCTTGTCTCAGCTTTACATAATCCTTCAGACACTTAGTTGGACATTGGGCAAAGGAACAAAATTGGGGGGTGAAGGGCAGAATCTCAGTTGGTAGTACTAAGTAGAACCGTGATCGAATAGCAAGAGTAAATTTCTGAAGATGTATACAGGAAAGAAAGACTGTCACCGACCTTCCTGAGAGGGACAAGCGCGAGAATCCCGACGAAGGCGACGGCGAAGAGGAAGCCCATCATCCACCCAACGCCGGGCTCCTTGGTGCCCACGTTGCCTTCCATGTCCACCCCGGCCATCTCGTAGGTCTTCTTGTTGAGCCCGAGCAGGTAGGACCCGAACCCACCTGGGGAGCGCAAAAAGGAAAATCCAAGAAGGCGTCAGAATCTCGGTGCTCCACTTGACAAAGAAAAGTGGGGAGAGATTCGCGGGCGCGGTCCCGACCGGCGGCGCCGATGCTGTAGCAGGCGACGGCGCAGGTCTGCACGACGGTGTTCTCCTGGCGGGTGAGCGGGCGGACGACGCGGCCCAGGCGGGCCAGCGCCTGCGTCCAGCCCCGGAGCATGACGAAGGAGATGAGCGCGGCGGAGACGTTGAGGGTGGGGTTGAGGCCCGTGGTGAGGTTGAGCTTCATCACGATGACGCTGTACATGGTGCCGACGGCCACGCTCACCACCAGGCCGCGCAGCGTCAGCTGCTCCGTCCACGGCGGCACGCGGCCGGTCGCGTGCGCGGCCTTCCCCTTGTCGCTGCTTCCCCCGGCGTCGTCCCGCTGGTGGAGCCCCATGGCGAGCCCGGGGCGGGGTTGCTTCCTCCGCCGTTCCCTGCTTCATGGGGAAAAGACATATTTCCGCGGCGTCAGGTTCAAGTCCATAGTAAAAAGGATTCTTGAAGAGGAGCTAGTGGTGAACAGAAAGCCCAGCATTTGATGGTGAGCTGACAGGAGTATTACGGTGCTATTAGCAGTGTAGTCATGAGCAAGCGAGCTCTTGTGCACCATGAACGAATGATTCAGTGGAACCAAACATGTAAATTTGATGAGCGATTCATGAGCACGCAAAATCTTTTGTCCTTGAGTGGGATGAAAAGAGAAAAATGAAAAACAAATCCGGCGTCACCTGGGGTCTCCGCTCCAAACCAAAACGACAAGAAGAGTGAACCAAGGGAAATTGAAGGTGAGCAGGGGAACCGGGGAGCACGTCAAGGAAAGAGAAGGAAAACGATGGACAATAGAAACAGTTCGACACTTCTTCTCCAGATCTCAGTACTTTAGCGCTGACTGACCGAGCGCTGCCCCTTGTGTACGTTAACAGTAAAACACACGCAACCACACAAAACTAGAAAATAATAATTAATCAGGAGTTCTTTCCTGGCACGCAATAAGTCAGGCGGCTCTTGCTCAACATTTCGAGCTGGAAACACGAAGGGATCCCCGTCGAATCAGAACACGAGATCGACCGCAACTCCAAGCAGAAGCGGTGACAGATAATGGAAGCAACCCCAAAGCAAGATGATGTATCAAAGAACAAAGAACTTAAACTCTTATTTTCCAATAGATAGAAGAAACAAGTCAACAGGAAACTGTCAGATCTCCCCAAGCAAGAGATAGATGGATCAAAAACAAGGAACGGCACAGTTATTAAACAGTTCTTATTCTAGGAGATATACTAGATAGATAGATTTTCGGATGATGTGCTCCTATCAGGACTGTACCTGCTCGGTGATCGTAGAAGCGGAGCCCGGCCGGCGGCTGCTGGACGGTAGGAGTCGGGCAGTCGGCGGTCGATCGATCGGTCAGACGTGATGGGTGGACTACTGACACCAGTAGACAGTGGCAGAGGTTATATATAAAGAGGCAAGAGCACTACATACCCACAAACTTGCAATGGATGTGATGGTTTAGTCCACAAACTTGTAAAAGGTGATCATCTTATCCCTAAACTTGCAATGTATGTGAACATTTAGTCCAAAGCCAATCACAAGTTGACAAATGGTGCCACGCTGGCAGCGTTGTGGCACACCCGCTCGGCCCGGCATTTTTATGAAAAACCCCTCCACCTTTATTGAAATTATGAATGTTGTTGCGCTTGCGCCTATGTGCCAGAGGGCGGTGCTAGCAATCTGGCTAGGATTGGCGACTGCCATACCTCAAATTCCACCAAAAAATATATTAGTGTATATACGAGTACTAGTGTGTGTGCATATTAATTACTCAACTTGGCGACAACAATAGAATATAACCACAACTTAGAAACATATAGTAGAAACGATCGATATATAGGCCATCTAGAAGACGACGGTGATGATCTACTGCGACTCAGCGGACGGCGTGGTGTTGGCGGCTGAGCCGTGGTCGTATATATTGGTATATATTGGTATTGTACGTGTTGAGCAAGCTGAGTTGATTGCTGACTTGCTGATGGTCCTAATGGATCGGCAAGTTGTCTTGCAAGTTCAACTCCATGTACAAATCAACACACGTTCGCCGGTTTCAAATTCTGGAAATCCTTTCGCTGCATGGCCGAATGTGTGCAGCAGCAAACAACAAGTAGGGAGCGGCAGTGGCCGGCACTGAATCGGGCCATACGAGGACGCAAGCGCGACTGAGCACAAAATGGCATAGAATAAGAAGATCAAGTAATGAATGAAAGCGTTCTAAAAATGTAAAGAATGAAAGTTAATTTAGGATTGAAATTGAACTTTGAATTTTGAAGCAAATTTTGTTGCCGTCTGCCAAAATAAGCTTAAATATTTTAGGTATCCCCTATTGACAAAACTAATCGATTGATTTTGAATTTTGATTGTGCTTGCTAAACACAAAGTATTTATAAAACTAATATTTAGTGAGCTCTTGCGTAATTACATTATATGTACATGGTTTTCTCCTTGATAGTTATCGCCACACCTAAGAATTATTCTTGCCTCTGCCACTGGCAGTAATTAACACGGTTTCAGTACTGGTTTCAACAACGACATAGTCCAACACGTTTTTCTTTGTTGGTGTCCAATCCACATGATGATGTACTTCTGAGATTGAGTATCCAGAGAGCGCCTCAAATGGGTCTTACTGGCATTTGGTGACAGATCCTACTAAACAAGCACAAGATAATGACCATTTTCACATAAACGGTGGCAACCCACTTAACATTTACAGATGCGACCAATTAGTCGATGATCATTTTTCTCGGGCAACGCATATTTGCATTTTTTTGGCGAGAATTGCATATTTGCATTACATCACGCTAGGATGTCGAGCGGGTGATGGACAGTGGTGGTGGTTCATTCGGATGAAATGTTTCTAATGGTCATATTTAGTTTGTTCCTAGGGAAGGTTATACTTAGTTGTGTGTGTGTGTGTGTGACCAAACTTGCTGCATCTACACAAAAAACTTGATTTTTTTGTTGAGCGGAACACAAATAACTTGCTGGACAGGCGAGACGTCTATCTAGAAGGTTGGGCACGCACAACACTGGCGTATGCTGGACCAGGCTTGGCGAGGGCGCGACTGTCTTGCTTGTAGCGAGACACAGTCTAGCCTCGCGTCAAGCAGCGCCCAGAATGGGCCAGCAAATTAGGGACCGCAAGCATTGAGCATTTTTTGCTTTTTTTCCACAGTTTTACTTTAATTTTACCTTTTCTTGTAATTCTAAATATATCTATTATAAAATTCAATTTACATACATAATTGAAAATGTTAGTCGTGCATTTAAAAATGTTAACATGTATAGAAAAATATTTCTAATGTATACAAAAAATGTACAATGTTTGTGGAAAAAAGTAGACATCAAAACATATATATGAGAAAAAAATTAATCATGTATTAAAAAAAAGGTCTGCATAAAAATATATTTTAGATGAATGCAAAGGGTACAATGTGTATACAAAAAAGTAGACATCAAAAGATATATATGAGCGTGTTGCATGTAATAAGTTTTTGTGGCAGCTACTTTAGGTTATGGCCAAGAGTAGTGAATCATCCTTGACGTGGAATTTTGCATTGGCTTTTCTAATAAAAATTTCAGGAGGGGGACCCTTTGATTAAAAAATATGAATATAAAAATAATATTCCGTGCGTGTGATTTCCGTAAAAATGGAGGGGTTTCTCGTAAAAACGCCAGGCTGAGCGGGTGTGCCACGACGTGGCCAGCATGGCGCCATTTGTCAACTTGTAATTGGCTTTGGACTAAATGTTCACATACATTGCAAGTTTAGGGATGAGGTGATCACCTTTTGCAAGTTTGTGGACTAAACCATCACATTCATTGTAAGTTTGTGGATCTATAGTGCTCTTGCCTCATATATAAAGGCGTGGACGTTTGTTGTCTTATGGCACATGGGCCCGGCGGGGCAGCATGGTTCACGCCAACTGTGCTCAGCTTGTCTGCTTCCGGCGGCGTGTGCTCCGCGCTCGCCCCCCTCGCGCCACGCGCGACGTCAGGCGTTCCCGTTTTTCGCTGCATGATGCACCCTGTCCGGGGTAGATGCACGCACGAGGGCTCTCTGCTTCTTCTCTTCTTCTACGACGTGGTAGATGATCGTCCTCTCCTCTCCCCGGTGGCGCCGGAGGGAGCGGCCGACACGTCGGTGAACAAAATCCAGGCCGGGATCACGGGTCTGGGCAGGCAGATGCCGATACGGGGCGCGTCCAGCCGCCCAGTCCAACCAGGGGACCAACAGGACCTTCACCCCGCTGTGACTGTTTCAGTACCCTTGTTCTCGGACCCCGTGGTGTGGGTTTTCCGTAATCGCTTGGTCCCCTGCTGATATTGCCTATCCTACCTAGATGCTCAAGTGGCCCCGGCCACATGGTTAGGGCAACTCCAACGGGATCACCAAGTGGATGACAAAAAATGTCCGCCGACACGTCCGAACGGTGTGTGCGGATAGCGGACTAGGCGCCGGTCATTCAACCGTAGCCATCAAATCCGAACCGTGGGCTAAGATTGGTAGAGGTGGTCCAATAGAAAAAAGAGGTGACCGGAACATATGGGTTGTGGGGAGAAGTGGTCCACCTAGATCAACTTGTTGCCAATGTAGTACACGCCCGTTTCTTCCTCACAGGGGGTCTTTGCCGCCTCCTAACCTAACCCGCCGCCGCCACCACATCTACTACCATAGCTTCGGTCTCCTCTCCCCCGTCTGGTGGCCTCGCCGGTGGAAAGAGGAGTGGGGACCTGTCCGTCTTGCTTTTTTGTCAGGTTTTTACTTCTCCGGCGACATTGACGAGGTGATGGAGTGTTGGAATAAGGTCTTTCTGGGTTTTCCCTACCTCTACGACGTCCGATCTGGCGCCGACGAAGAACCTGTGGGAGTTTGTGTCCCCATATGTGTTGGTTCCCTTCAGATCTTGGCAGTTTGTGTGTCTTTTAAGGAGAGTTTTTGGCTGGCTGTTGGTGTAGCGACTTCAACATCTTCTTCTGTGTTGTTCTGTGGCTTGACCCGGTTTCTCCAACACTCTATGCTGATCGTGATGGATTGCAAGCCTGTTATGCGCGGTGTGATGCTCCAACCGATGTTGCTTCAATGTTTTTTAGATCTCGTCTCAAGGGACGAGTGGCTATTGCTGTCTTCAAAGCCTAGTATGGCGAGGGCGTTCGCAGGCATCATCTTTCTTTGCTGTTGGTTCAGTGCAATTTTCAATCTTCAGTGGGTGGCGTGCAATCAGAGAAAAAAGAAGACTAGTATACTTTATAATGTAATTTTATTTTGTACTGGATGTTCTACATCCAGTTGTGTATCCATTATACTGGTCATTGTTTTCCTCGGTAGTAATTAGATCTAAGATGCCCTTTGGGTGTCTTTGTTAAAAAACTAATAGTGGGCTAGACAGGCCTCTGAACTCCTCTAACCACCCCCCTCCAGTTTGGTGCCGGTTTGGGCAATTGCGAACGTTTGGACCGGTTCAAACAAATTTGATCACTTTCCTTGGATGGGTTAAAGTGTTCGAACAGCCTGGTCCATACCTTTAAGAGTGATTTGATGACCCACGTTAGAGTTGCCTTTAGTATTTCGTCGAGAAATATTCCTAATCTCTTTGTAAGGACAAAGTTGAACTCTTACAAGGTCATCCTTATAGAAACTAGAAATTACATATAGGTCCACAAGAAAATCGATGTATCCTCATTCACTCATTGATGGTGCATCGTGAGCTCAATGCTGCATATGTACCTCTGAAAGACCATCAGCTAGTATCAGGGCCGGTTTTCCGGGACATAAAATCCCAGCAAATGACCCTTGTGTCGTCACCAGCCCCAAGATTACTGTTGTTGGTGGACACTTCCTTGATACAAAATTCCAAGCAGTTACAAGAATTTGAGTACAAGACCATAAATGTCCATTGAGTATAACAATGATCTCTAGTGGTGGATGACAGAAGCGGCTCGTGGATCTCCAACGTCTACCACCATAGCTTCGGTCTCCCTCCCCTCCCCCGTCTGGTGGCCTCGCCGGTGGAAAGAGGAGTGGGGACCTATCCGTCTTGTTTTTTGTTAGGTTTTTACCTCTCCGACGACATTGACGAGGTGATGGAGTGTTGGAATAAGGTCTTTCTGGGTTTTCCCTACCTCTACGATGTCCGATCTGGCACCGATGAAGAACCTGTGGGAGTTTGTGTCCCCATATGTGTTGGTTCCCTTCAGATCTTGGCAATTTGTGTGTCTTTTAAGGAGAGCTTTTGGCTGGCTGTTGGTGTAGCGACTTCAACATCTTCTTCTGTGTTGTTCTGTGGCTTGACCCGGTTTCTCCAACACTCTATGCTGATCGTCATGGATTGTAAGCCTGTTATGCATGGGGTGATGCTTCAACCGATGTCGCTTCAATGATTTTTAGATATCGTCTCAAGGGACGAGTGGCTATTGCGGTCTTCAAAGCCTAGTATGGCGAGGGCATTCGCAGGCATCGCCTTTCTTTGTTGTTGGTTCAGTGCAATTTTCAATCTCCAGTGGGTGGCGTGCAATCAGAGGAAAAAGAAGACTACTATACTTTATAATGTAATTTTATTTTGTACTGGATGTTCTACATCCAGTTGTGTATCCATTGTACTGGTCATTGTTTTCCTTGGTAGTAATTAGATCTAAGATGCCCTTTGGGTGTCTTTGTTAAAAAACTAATAGTGGGCTAGACATGCCTCTGAACTCCTCTAACCACCCCCCTCCAGTTTGGTGCCGGTTTGGGCAATTGCGAACGTTTGGACCGGTTCAAACAAATTTGATCGCTTTCCTTGGATGGGTTAAAGTGTTCGAACAGTCCGGTCCAAACCTTTAAGAGTGATTTGATGACCCGCGTTGGAGTTGCCTTTAGTATTTCGTCGAGAAATATTCCTAATCTCTTTGTAAGGACAAAGTTGAACTCTTACAAGGTCATCCTTATAGAAACTAGAAATTACATATAGGTCCACAAGAAAATCGATGTATCCTCATTCACTCATTGATGGTGCGTCGTGAGCTCAATGCTGCATATGGACCTTTGAAAGACCATTAGCTAGTGTCAGGGCCGGTTTTCCGGGACATAAAATCCCAGCAAATGACCCTTGTGTTGTCACCAGCCCCAGGATTACTATTGTTGGTGGACACTTCCTTGATACAGAATTCCAAGCAATTACAAGAATTTGAGTACAAGACTATAAATGTCCATTGAGTATAACAATGATCTGTAGTGGTGGATGACAGAAGCGGCTCGTGGATCTCCAACGTCTATGGGACTCTATTCCGATAGGAACAACTGGCCTGGCTAACTCTATCTCACGTGGCTGCTATCTCCCATTCCTAGGTTGTGGGGTCTTCATGGTGCTCCTATCCAAGTTGTGATCTAGCCAGTACAATAGCCAGGGACAAGCCTATGCGTATGTTTGAATGTACTCGCAAACATCATGAACAAAAGATATATTGAATGCATATGTTTGATTGAAACTAAAGCATGGCATGATAAATATTAATACGGTGCAGATGAATAAATAAATTATATTAGTAATAAACCAAGAAGATAAAATGGAACAACGGGTGTTGGACCGCCCGAGGGATTCCAAGAAGAATGCCAAATGGGTGTCTGAAAGCGATGCCTCAAGATGTCTTGAAAATAAAACTGAGTATCCAGGTAGTCTAGCCGTCCCAAGTGATACCCAGAAAATAAAAGAAAACCGAGTGCCCGGGTAGTCTGGCCATCCCAAGTGACACTTCGTAAATTCAAATAAGATAAATGGTTAGCCAAAATAACAATAATATTTATAGCAATAATCATGATAACAAAGATATCCATGATAGCATTAGTTGTGCCAATAATTATCTTGGAAAAATGAATCATGCTTAATTTAATTATTCCCTCCGAAGACCGACACTTGACCAACCCAGACTGTAGTCCTTAACCATGGACACGACTATTCGAATAGGTTTTTATACTCTGCAGAGGGTGTACTCTTTACTCACAAGTAAAGGACTTCCTTAGTCAACCTCGAGACGTTGACTAATTCCGATTACGGTCTTTGGGTTAAAAACAGACCTAACCAGCACACATCGGCTTATCTTTCCTGATGCCAGGAATCACCCAAAGCATCGCTTAAGAAAAACTCTAAGATGGAGAGGTCACAACCTTGCATGGGATCACAATTTATACCGCGCGCTAACTAAGGGGTGCCCCCTCTCGGCCTCAGCCGGACACACCAATGCCCCCTGACATGATGACTGGCATTATTCTTGGAACCGGGAAACCCTCATCGTGGCCCTCTGTATGGTGTGCGCAGGAAAGGGGTTAACAACTTACTGAACCATACCCTACCTATGGCAGGGACATGTGGTAGCACGAATCAAGTTTGGGGGTTACCGGAACAAGACTTGATCTATGGTCGACTTAGGAGGTTTATATTTTCCTGCAATGACTAGCACACTATATTTCCTTGGTGGTACTCAACATGGTCACCACCTAGCATGTCCCAACATGCCATCACTGATCACTCTCGTCACCACGAGATCTCAGTCTCACGGCCACTTTTACTCGTGACAAATCTTTCCTATAGGTTAGTGATGACCCACAAGTATATGGGATCAATTGTAGCCTTTTCAATAAGTAAGAGTGTCGAACTCAACGAGGAGTAGAAGGAAATGACAATTGGTTTTCAGCAAGGTAATGTCTGCAAGTGCTGAAATTATAAGTAATAGAGTAGTTTGATAGCAAGATAATTTGTAACGAGCAAGTAACAGTAGTGGTAAGAAAAGTGCAGCAAGGTAGGCCAATCCTTTTGATGCAAAGGACAGGCCAAAACGGTCTCTTATCATAAGCAAAGTGTTCTTGAGGGTACACGGGAATT